CGGCCAACGGAAGTGGCGAAGCATGGACCGAGGAGGCAAGGATGCAAGGTGCAAGGGTACCCTTGGGAAGGCTGCCCGTCCGTGCCATGCGGGTCGACTGGTGGGGTGCGGGGCGATGCGGGCACCCCCCGGGGACAGCCCTCCACCGGGCGCGGCTGCCGGGGAACACCCCGCGGCGAGAAGGCGGGACCCGACGCGCACCTCCTCCCCGCCTCCCCGCCCGTGCGCCGAGGAGGGGGGCCAGATACTGGCCATCGCTCGGACGTCCATTCCCTGTGTTTGTTTCGTTTTCGTGCGTGGCTTTTTCGCCAAATGGTCAAGGATGCTCCTCGATGGTCCTCGCCGAGAAAAAAATGCACACGTCCAGGCGATGCCAAGGCCTCCCCGTCCTTTCGCCGAGGAGGGGGGCCAGACACGCGCGCGCGTCCGAGGGAGGGTCGAGACACGTGCGCGCGGGCGAGGGAGGGCCGGGGAGCGCACAGGCAGGAGAACGCGGGGGGGGTCAGGGCGGCCCCTCGTTCTCGCGTCGGGGACGGCCAGCGGGTCTCGAGGACGGTGAGACGCAGAGCAGACTGACTACACTGAGCAGTCTTCGGGGATGGCCAGACCCCCCTTTAGCAAAACGTGGTTTAGTGAAAACGACCTGAGGCCCAAACCTGGCGGGCGCAAGCCTGAAAAATAACGGCCGCGGCGCCCTCTCGAGAACCGAAAACGGACAATTCACTAATCGACGTGTCACTGTTGGGGGTTCTGTCCACCCCCGAAGTCTGAGGCTTCGCCTTCACACGAAGACCACCCACTGTCGGAGCTGGCCCTGGGCAGGAACGACCTTCGGTGCGTGGCTTGACGGGGGACGCGGGGTGGTCAGGCCAGGGCGCGCACGCCACTGCTGCCGCTTCGCGCTCGGCGATCGGGGGACCCCGTGAGGCCCGCATCCATGGTCACTCAGGCGAAAGGCAACTCCTACGTCTAATCGTCCCTGGCCCTCGCCCACCGCTTGGACGCCCCCGAGTCCTGGCATGAATGTCCACGTTATTCGGACCCCAGTGGCCTCCACGGGCCTAGGGCCCCGATCACACAACGGCTCGGGGAAAACCCCGGTGTGCGTGGGACCCATGCCCCCTGGGGGCCCCTTCTCGCCGTGGCAATCAAGTTGGCGGCGCTGATGACCTGATTGGCCTGTGACTGGGACGTGCCATGGCTCCCACCAACCCTCTCACAATTCCAAGTTGCGGCAACCATTCCGTCCTCCGTCCTGGCTGTGCCCTTCGCAATTCAAATGTCTTGCGGCTTTAGGCGGGTATCGCAGACCCTCCGAACTGTCCAAAACCGAATGGACTGAAGAGGTTTGAAACGGGGAGAAGAGATTCGGGGTTTCATTGAACTTCGGGGAGTGATACGTGTTTGTTTGAAGGGGCTATCTGTGGTTCCAGGTTGCCCGATGGAATCGACAGCACGGGGAGCGCACAAGTGTGACCCTCAAATCGATGCGTACCGTCAAACGTCAGATCACATAACAAACCCATTACCCATGACAGGCCGAGTCTTGGCTACGCTTTGGGCCCACGCTGGCCAACACTTGCTCTCGATTGACCTTCGATGAATTCAGAATGGATCAGCACCTCCATGGCGTCTTGACAAGGCGCAGTGAGTACGCAACTGGCCGACGATTCGCTCCCTTTTGCTTAAGACACCACGACAGTGGAACGACGCGGCGACGCCAAACAACACAACATCATGACACCGCGACACAACGACACCCACGACACAACGACACCACGGCACGGTCACACCGCGACGCCACGACCCGACCCTATCAGGATCGGAAGCCGATCCAGAATCCCTTCGAGATCGATTCACAACTTTGCCAGGCTGACTTGCGAGTCGATCAACGCCGAATTGGATCCAGCCACAGCCGCAACGCAATGCATCCACGGCGACCATATGTACAATCGACCGAGAACTGATGACCCACAAGAAGAAACCATGACAACACAACACCCAGCGATCTGCGGTACCGTGACGATGTGATGTGGTGCTGTGCCGCAACCAACAAGACGACGGGCGACATTAGGGGAGGACCGGCTTAGGGGGGAAACATCGACCTGCAATCGGGGATTCATCGCCGGTAGATCGGCGACGCGCCCCCGATAGCGAATCCGACCGTTCCTGGGCGGGGCGGGCTATCGGGCCCCTATCGGCGATCAATGGGCGACTGGGGGATCGATGCATCTATCTTGGAGTACCATGTGGGACACAAGAACACACCCTAGACGGATCTACCCTTTCTCCGACCTTGTACTGCGCCGAGCGCAACAACCGCGATGTCTACAGACGTGCCCCTATCACACTGTCTTTATATACGCAGCGACACCCACCGTGTCTGTTGACGCCTGTGGCCAGAAAGCGAGAACGGTATTTGACATAGGCCCGAGATATTCGTTTTCTGGAACCAGGTAGACTTTGCCCTCCAACATCTCTCCCCCTCTATTGAGAGCCCCTGTGAGTGGAGTCCGACTAGATGGGGTTGGCGGATCGCGCCGCATCGCCGATGCATCCGCAATGCGGCTCGACGTGGAGCTCGACTCTCTCTACGCCGATGTCGCCGATGCATCGCAAACGCATCGACGATGCTCCGGTAACTCATCGGCGATGCATCGGCGATGCATGGGCCTGTCCCTCTACAGGAGGACCGTTCAAGCATAGTAAAAAAATAGTCTGGGACGATATGCCGACTGTTCTTGGTGTACTTTTCTGACTATGTTTAATTCTTCGCCCAAAGTCCGCCTGTAGGGGGACATGCCCGACCTGATTCTAGTGCTGCCCCTTGCATTAAGTCGGGCGTGTCCCCCTACAAGGGGGATTTTCGATGAAAGTTACAAGATACTCCAAACATGCTCCAAATTGGTCAAAAAAATAGTCCGAAAACCAGTCCCCAGACTATTTTGTGGACTATTTTTGTGTATGCCCCTGTAGAGGGACAGGCCCGACCTAATTCCAGTGCTACCCCTGGCATTAAGTCGGGCGTGTCCCCCTACAGGGGATTTTCGACGAAAGTTACAAGATACTCAAAGGTTACTCCCAAACCAGTCCCCAGGCTATTTTGTTGACTATTTTTGAACATTGCCCCTGCAGAGGGACAGGCCCGACCTAATTCTGGTGCTGCCCCTGGCAGGACGGGCCCGCGAACCAGCTGGCCCGCGCACAGCCCCGCGGGGCTGCGCCGCCCTCCCTCGCGGCGGCCGCGCCCGCGCGAGCCCCCCAGCCCCGCGCATGGGGGAGAGAGAAAGTGCCTCGGGGGCGAGCGGCTTCCACACTGGAAGGGGCCCTGGGACACACACATAAATACACAAAACTAGCAGGGCTCCCCACATGTTTTCCCATGTTCCCTGGGCTTTTGTCTTCCCCCCCACTTCCCATATTTCCCCATATATGTTCCCATATTCTCTGGGGCATGATAGGCATGCTTTCCACCACCACCACCACCTGAAGTTGGAGGGGGAGGGGGTCCTCCTCCCTCTCCTCCTCCTCCTCCTCCTCTTCGTCCTCCCCCTCCTCATCCTCCTCCTCCTTCCGCCCTCCAACTTATGGTGGTGGTGGTGGAAAACAGGCCCATCATCCACCCTGTCCTTCACTCGGCGGCGTGCCCAGCGGGGAAGGCTGGCGATCGTCTGCTGCTGTTTGGCGATGGCTTGGGCTGCCTGGTGGGGGGGGGAGGTGCTGGCCGATAGCCCAACCTTTGGGGAGCCCCACGTACGCTCGCGCGCACCGAGTCTGCGCACCCCCCCTCGAATCCGCGCATCGGACGAGGTCCGAATTATCCCGGGGGGGGAAGCGGGGTGGGCGGGCGGGCGGGCCCGATATAAGCCAGGCGATCGCTGTCACCAGACCCTGAAAGAGCCAGCCTCCAGAGGGGCTGGGCCCTCGCTGAGAGCTCAGAGAGCCTCCTGGGGACACCCAAAGACACCGATGCCGCCACTCCCCGCACCTCTCCCGGGAGGCGCTCTGCCCAGAACTGCGAGGCGAATCCCCGGAGGGCCTCCCGGGAGGCCGAAAGAGAGGCAAACGGACGACGGGTCGAGGTAGGGTATACCTGCTCCCCCTCTGGCCGCCCGCCCTCCGAGAATCGGGCCGGGCGAAAGGGGGGGATAGCAAAGGGGGGGTTTGAGGATCAGCTCACGTATAGCCGATTCTTCCGGCGCCTCCCGGCGCCGGGGAGGCGCCCATATGCATCGAGGAGTGGGCCCGGCGGCGGGGCCGAGACCAGCTGCATGCAGCAGGTCTCGCAATTAGCCCCCCCCCCTTCCCAGTCCCCCCCTGTCGTGCGGCCCTCCGAGGAGCTTTCTCCTCGGCCTCCTCCGCAGGCGGCGGGGACGGCCGCTCGGCAGGCCCGAGCGGCGGGCCTCTCGAGAGCCGCACCGCCGTCCGAGCAGGCCATGGCCTCCCTCTCGCTGCTCCCTCCCCCCCCCCGGGCGCGGCACAGCACCTGTCGGGGATCGTCTGACCCGGGTCGATCCAGACCCGGGTCAGCGGGAAACCGAACAACTGCAAGGCAGGACAAGAAACGTAAAAAAATGCAGCGCGGGGCTTCGCAAACCTGGGTCAGCCAGTCTGCGCGGCCGCCTCGCGGCCACGAGCGGCTCGCCAGCCCGGGTCAGCCAGAGGGGGTCTTCGCAGGATCCTGCAGGATCTGGTGCCCTGGCTGATCCCCGTTTGCACTGACCCCTGTCTCGAGGCCCCCGAGGCCAGGTGTGGGGGCCACCACCGGCCTGGACGGGGGGGGGGCGCAGGCTTGGGTCGGGCGTGTCCTCGTACGGGCGGACTTTGGACGAGCAAAAGAAAAGACCCAGAACACACTCAAACAAAAATCCGAACAGAATCGAAGCATCGTTCCCGGACTGTCTTCGGACTATGTTTGGCTGTTCCTCCTGTAGAGGGACAGGCCCGCCTTAAGCCCAGGCGCCGCTGCTGGGCCCGGGGTGGGCCTGGCCGGGGCGGTCCTCCGCGGAGATGGGCACGTTCACCTCGAGATCGTCGTTCCGAAGTTTCCTGCTCGGGCAGGGAGGGCGAGGACGCAGACGAAAGGGGGGGATAGCAAAGGGGGGGGTTGAGAATCAGCTCACGTATAGCTGATTTCCCCGGCGCCTCCCGGCGCCGGGAGGCGCCCATGCATCGAGGAATGGGCCCCTCGGCGGGGCCGAGACCAGCTGCATGCAGCAGGTCTCGTGACCCCCCTTTCCCAGTCCCCCCCTTTCGTTCGGCCCTTCAAGGAGCTTTCTCCTCGGCCTCCTCCGCAGGCGGCGGGGACGGCCGCTCGGCAGGCCCGAGCTGGGCAGGCTGGGTAGGCAGCAGATTTCGTAGCCCCCCCTTTCCCAATCCCCCTCTTTCGCCCGGCCCGAGAGGGCGAGGAAGCAGACGATGGAGGCAAAAAGCATACACGATATTGCGGCCTGCGGAAGCCGACTCTCGCGGCGGGTGCCACACACGGGGGACGCGCTGGCTCCACAACGCAGCGCGGTCCGTACAGCGTCAAGGCAAGCTGCTCGCGCAGGCCAGCGCGCCCCTGTGGCATGGGAGGCAGAGGCCGCGAGTGCAACGAGAGAAGCAGTCCCGATCTCGACCCGAATCGGCCAGGACCCTGACCTTCCAGGAGGGCTAAAAAATGGCACGCGACTTCAAAACCTATCCCAGAGCTATTATATGTCTTGGTTTTATGCTGTTTCGTTTCGTTTTAGGTTTTTAGGCCTCCCGTGCTAAAAAAAAGCTCTCTGGAAGGTCAGGGGAGGAGGGCTGAGCTCCGCAAGCCAGGCAGAGGGCCCCACGTCTGCAGGCCGTGGCTCCGAGAAAGCACCGCAGGCACCAAAGCAAGAGCCCACGCGTGGAAAGGGTCCACGCCATAGTGGGCCCTGGAAACGACAGGGCCGTTTTTTACCAGTTCCGTTTTGCCGCTTTGCCGGTTCCAACGCCGTTTTTTTACCGGTTCCATCGCGGTTTTTTGACCGGTTCGGGCTCTGGTTCCAATCCTGGAGCCGTTTTTGTTGCCGTTTCCGCTGGCCGTTTTTTTGCCGTTTCCATTTTCAAGGGGCATTTTATGGAAACGGTGAAAAAACGGCCCTGCCGTTTCCGGGGCCCACAAAGGTCCACGCGCACTCCCAGCTCAGGGGCGTGCAAGTGCGATTGCCAGCGCAGCAACGGGAAGAACAAGCCCTACAGTGGGGGCTCGGCCACAAGAAGCCTCCGCAAGGAACCCAACCCTGAATTCCGCGATCTGTTCAGTGAACGCCCAAATTCGTCGATCGAAAATCGTCAAGGTCTTGTTGGGGGCCCATTGAAATCCAAGAAACCCAGTGCACCCTGGCAAAATCCAACTGGTTTCTTGGCACGCGCCCCCACTGTACCCCGAAACCGACCGACAATCGCAGAGATGCCGAACGTGGCGATCCCTTCGGAATGATCTCCTGCATTGTGTTGTCTCGTCGATGGTGCCACATTCTTCAGTTGCCCGCCGGTGGGTCCCAGAAGCCGCCCGAACAACAAGAGGGTTGACGAGTCCCAAGACGACGGCGAGACGATGCTACATCTGGACGACGATGCATCGGGAAACCCTCAGACCGAGGAGCGGGTCAGCAGGATGTGTCTGGCGCCGCAGACTTGCCAGAGCGCTGCGCCGCGCTCTGACCGCGCTCCAGAGCGCTCTGGAACGATTTGCCCTCTTCCGGGTCTTCGGAGTCCCGAAACGGTGCGGTGACGGACCGTGCGGTGACCTCGGAACCCCAGGAGACCTCACCGCACGGTCCGTCACCGCACGGTCTCGGGACCCTGGAGGCCCTAGGGGTAGCCCTAGGGTAGCCCTAAGGGTAGGCCCTAGGGGTAGGCCTAGGGTAGCCCTAGTGGTAGACCCTAGGGGTAGGCCCAGGGTGGCCCCAGTGGTAGGCCCTAGGGGCAGCCCTAAGGTAGCCCTAGGGGGCCCTAGGGGTTGCCCTAGGGTAGCCCTAGGTGTAGGCCCTAAGGGTAGCCCCAGGGTAGCCCCAGGGGTAGGCCCGAGGGGTAGCCCTAGGGTGGCCCTTCCTTGGGTGATCTATGAGCTTGGGACCCTGGAGGCCCCTGTCGCCCGAGACGTCCTCGTAGAACGACCCGAGTCCCAAAATCGTGCGGTGACCCCGAATCCCCACCGACTCACCGCACGGTGTGGTCACCACACCGTTTGGAGGCCCCCGAGGGTCTGACTTACGACAGCGGCCCACACTGCGACCGGGTCGACGAATCCTCGATCCCTGCCTTGATCACCACAGGGGGCTGCTACGGGGAGAAGGGTGTCACACATATATGCTAGTGTCTGGGTTTTACCAGCCTCGAACTTCTCCCTATCCCCGAGATTGACACGCCAAAAGGCTATGACAATCTTAGGGATGCGCCCTCAGAAAATAAGAGAATCCCTAAGATTGGCATCGTGATGAGGAGATGCCCAGCATAGGGATGAGGATATGTTCCAGGCTGGTAAGTTTTAAGTGCCCCATGTGGCTTGGGGTTTGGGTGGCTACACTGCGGGCTAAGTGGGCGCCGCCCACTTGTCGAAGTTATCCACCCTCCCCCAAAGCCACTCAACAAAACTCGACACTCCTTGATGACCTAGGCTAGTCCAAATACAACCTACCTAAATACCTCAGCATCCACTAACAACCGTCCCTTATCTCAACCTTCATGCTCAATAAAGGCACCTCATATCGACCAACGTAATCCGCCGGCCCCCTTGTGGGGCCACCAGGCTGTAGGCGCGAGGTTCGCAGTTTCCTGTACCACTTGTAGCTTGTAGTTTCCAGTGTTACAGTTCTGCTTCTTGCTGGTTACTGTAACTAGTTGATTGACCGCGCGAGGAGGGGGGAGGCCCAAACCGACATTTTAGCACCTCCTGGGCGCGTTGTCTGAATTGCTGGGGGGGCTCGAAATTGACACCCCTCACGCAGATCCGCGGGGTCAGGGTCCAAAAACACAGGGGATTTGCCACATTTCTGAAATTCGGTGCCACCCCTCACGCAGATCCGCGGGGTCAGGGTCCAAAAACACAGGGGATTTGCCACATTTCTGAAATTCGGTGCCACCCCTCACGCAGATCCGCGGGGTCAGGGTCCAAAAACACATGGGATTTGCCACATTTCTGAAATTCGGTGCCACCCCTCACGCAGATCCGCGGGGTCAGGGTCCAAAAACACAGGGGATTTGCCACATTTCTGAAATTCGGTGCCACCCCTCACGCAGATCCGCGGGGTCAGGGTCCAAAAACACAGGGGATTTGCCACATTTCTGAAATTCGGTGCCACCCCTCACGCAGATCCGCGGGGTCAGGGTCCAAAAACACAGGGGATTTGCCACATTTCTGAAATTCGGTGCCACCCCTCACGCAGATCCGCGGGGTCAGGGTCCAAAAACACATGGGATTTGCCACATTTCTGAAATTCGGTGCCACCCCTCACGCAGATCCGCGGGGTCAGGGTCCAAAAACACAGGGGATTTGCCACATTTCTGAAATTCGGTGCCACCCCTCACGCAGATCCGCGGGGTCAGGGTCCAAAAACACAGGGGATTTGCAACATTTCTGAAATTCGGTGCCACCCTTCACGCACATCCATCGCAAGGCGTGGTAACCCAAACTGCGAGAACTCCCTCGGCCCTTTAATCGCAAGGTGTGGTAACCAAGCCCTTAAACCATACACGTCTTACCAATCGCCAGGTGTGGTAACCCCTCTTGTGATCAGTTGGTTTAGCTGATTGCGACTCGGCTTCGCATGAAGTTTCGATACTGCTTCACGACAGCGCCAAGGCCTCATGACTTAGCTCTTCCATGGCCCATTCTCCGAGAGAAGGGGCCGGCGGCAGGGGGCTAAGCCCTTACGGATATGCCATGGCTACCTGAATCGCTCAGATGCCACCACCCGAGGCACGCGCGCGCCTTTCCCACGTGCGCCCGAACCGCGCACTCCACGTGGATCTGCTGCTTGGATCAAGCTCACGCGAGGCGGACAGGCCCGCCTCCACACGCCCACGGCGCCCGTTTGGCTGCACCGCGCCCATTTCTGCGCACCCTTCGCACATCTCGCGGGCCCATGATGCCATGGGAGCTCCCACCTACGGCCCAAATGACGGCGCCCGTCTGGCGGCGCCGCGCCCATTCCGACAAACACCCCTCACGCGCTCCGTGGCCCCAGGTCGAGCTCAACACGCGGCCCCGGTGGGAAGGGCACCCCGTGGTCCACACGGAACTCCACCTGCGACCCCAGCGGGAAATTCCGCATGGCGCAGCCGCTACCGCTTCGGGCCGTTTTTCGTGGCCCCGTGGGGCTCGCGCCCAGCAGGCAGCTCCATATCGGGATCCAGTGGGAGTTCATGAATGCGGCCTGGACCCCTGCCGGCGCACCCCTCAGTAGAATCGCAAGCCGTGGGGTTAGGTCGGGCACGTCCCCCTACAGGCGGTTTTTGGACGAAACATAAAAAATAGTATAAAAAAGGTACTCCAACATGGGCAAAAAAATCAAAAATCGCCCCGTATCATGTTGCTATCTTTGAAGCTTCCTCCTGCAGAGGGACACGCCCGACTTAACCGTAGGGAGCTCAGCTCGCCCCTGCGCGTCTGGCCCGCCCAACCCCGATCCGTGCTGCCCCGGGCCCAGTCCCCTCCCCAGCGCGCTGCATGGTATAGACAAGTGCGCTCCACTACTCGCCAAAGCAGCCACTCGCAAAAGGCCTGGATCCGCCACAGGGGATCTACGATATGTTACGCAGAGGAAAACGTGTGGCTTCCTGATGTTTGCGAGCAGGCGCTCTGCAGGCACAGGTACAACGCGCTCGGTGATGTGAGGCGAGGGCCACGCCTTGCGTTAAGTCGGGCCTGTCCCCCTGCAGGGGGATTTCCGACGAAGAATATCACATACTCCAAAAATGCTCCAGACTTGTATTAAAAAAAAAGGCTCCAAAAATGCCCCCAGACTTTGGACTATGTTTTGGCTATTTTTAATTTTTCATCGAAAATCCCCCTGTAAGGGGACAGGCCCAAC